AAAAAAAAAAAAAAAAAAAAAGCATTGTGCTCTTACACTATTTTCTGTGTGTACACCAGGAAATAAGAATCCCAAGTGGCTATGGAAGAAAACCTAGCATGGAATTGTTCATTTCCCCACCTGAATTGAACTACATAGCTGAGATTTTTCAACCTTACCCAAAATGCATTTTCCTTTATAGATTTTTAAAAGCAACTATTGGTCAATTAAAAAAAAAACCCAACACAACCCCCCCCAAACACACACAAAAATCAAAATCACAAAGGGAGAAACCCCCCACCCAACCCACCCTCAAGTGCCAGCAAAACACAGGAAAGAGCTAGATACTGCCACAGTCCAGCTCCAGCCTTGAAGCTTACTCACTGCATCAGTCTTTAAGCAGGCCTGGAATAATTCTAGTCATTTATTGTTTTTTCTGTTCATTAACTGAGATCTCACGGCATAACTAGATGCACATACTCATAGTGAACATTAAAACTCAATTTGCAAAACACTGTTACAAGGGAGAAGAGTTCAGATGTGCAAACCAAGGAACGCCACATTCCCGAAGGAAGAGAACTGCTTCATGCTACAAGCAAAACAGAGTTCCAGCCATGTTGCAAACTCTAAGGGAACAGCATGTGTATGTCATTCAGTTCAATTTCATAGAGGAAAACAAAGCAACTTTAACAGTGTTCTCTTCTCCACAAAGGATGGTTACAGATGAGGAAAGGATTGCGTTAGCTGCTAAGCTTATCTGACAGGTATCTGTGCTGTCATGCCTTTCCTGTCCATTGCTCAACACAAACTCTATCACATAGTTTGTTATGCAGTAGCTTTCAGGTTAATACACAAATTGCCAAGGTGTAGCTTTTGCTGAAACATCTATGCTCTTTTCCAATTTCGAATCCTGAAGACACTTCAAAAATAAGAACCCCAAACTGCTGACTGTAAGCATCCAAAAATACAGCTGTGGTCTCACTATGGGCAAGTCGTAGTCCGTTAGAAAAGTAGATCATACATACAAAGGTATAAAGAACATTTAAGTCAGTCTTAGTGGAAGGCAGTCCTTGAAGAAAACAATGCTCCAAGCAAACTTGCTGAGTAGCACTTTCACTTTAGCCCTTCAGGGGCGTGGAAGATTCAGAAGTCTTCTCAGTAGATTCTTCCTCGGCTACGATTGCCACGTCCTCCCCAACCTCTTCCTCGTCCACCCCGGAAACCACCTCTTTGCTCTGCAACGAGAGTCAGAACTTTTCAGGCAGGTTTCATGCTGATACTGACTAAAAGTGAACAGCAGCATCTGGAGGTATTGAAGGCTGACTTGAGCCTCCTGCTCATCACGAGCTCACCCAGTTACGCTTTAATGGCCACGGGACCCCACTAATTGTCACAGGAGGTCAGGAGAAGCCTCTGAACTAAGCACAGTCTTTCTGCATACTAATACTATGACACACATCTGCCCCTGTGTTTGAGAACTATATTTGGGCCAGTCCATTACCACAGCACTGAAAAGTGGCTGCCTAGGTCATCCTTCTGTCCAACAACACCATGTTCATCTTGAGGTGTATGACTTGCTACTAGTGATTGTATAAACTGATGGAAAACCACAGCTTTCTCATTCTCTGTCTTTTTCTACCCTTAAGGTATAAACTGATGGAAAACCACAGCTTTGTCATTCTCTGTCTTTTTCTACCCTTATCACCAGCAGAGTATTTTATTATTACTAAAGCTACTACCTTAACTACAGTCAATTAGAAGTCTTAGATATAGATGGGTACTACACAAACTATTAGTACACTGTAAAAAAGTTTTCCTTTCCCTTTATCAAGAACAAATCTGACCACAGTGAAAAAAAACAAACAAAAAAATCCCAAACCCAAGATACTTTATAGTTTCTTTGGGTTGGTTTGAAAATGTATCAAACATTCATTCCCCTTTCTTGCTTTCTCTTTATGTACAGTCTCAAAATACAGATCATGCTAATCTACAAAGAGAACTGTGTGCTTATTTTAGAGGGTACAAAAATCTAAAACTGAACAGAGGCCTAAGCATCTCACTAACAAGAAATAGTAGCAAGCAATAAAACATTCCTGGCAGAAAACTTCCCAATCTTTACAACTGTAGGACCACAAGTTCATCTTATGCACACAAGCACAGCACTTGAAGTCTACAGTAAGAAATTTGCAGATTATGTTATCTTTTCTCTTTGCTCTATATGTCTGACAGTGCTTTACATCTGGTTTTGGGCATGGGTGCTCACTTGTCATAGCAGACCTTTCCTTGCCAGAGGTAGGACCTACAGGGAAGACAGGAATGGGTTGCTGCCAGTGCTGGGCCAGTTTCTCCAGTCTGCAATTGCTCTAGGGCTTTGCCCAAAAGCACAACTCGTGGAGGGGCAGAATCAATGACTGGGAGCACGAGGACATCACTGTGTGCATGCACAGTGACCCTGGCAATTCCTGGGACTTCTGGATCAGGTCTGCAACATCAGCAGTGGCTGTGATAGGAATGCAGCACAGGTCCAGTCGTACGACAGGAGGTGACCCAGCTCTGCCACGTGCAGCAAGTGGCTTGTCCACTGGGAAACTGGTGCAAGTGCTGTGTGTCATAACAGAAAACACAACAGTTCAATTACTAACTCTGTGTGTTAAACCACTACTAAAAGTAACTTGAAAATGACATAGTTTATAGGCTGGTAGCACTCAAACACCACAGCACATCAACAGCTATGAAAAGAGAATTGCACACAAAAATTGGTGACAGTAAAACTTCATCTTCCAAGAACGTGCTATTTGTTCCCCCCACCCCAAGACACAACTGTCACTAGACAAAGTAACAGCTTTTTTTCCAAGCTTCCTAACTTACCGTAGGAAAAACTGCCCAAGTTACTGCTGTATTTTCCACTGGGAGGATTATATATTTGCCTGGCATCCCTTTTTGGTCCTGCCGAAGATTTCTTTGGGGGTGAACTTGAGGTTGTATCTTCACTTGCTCTTTTTTGACTGGCAGAAGAAAACAAAAACGTATCATTACACCCTGTGGTGACAAGTACAGGAATAGCAGCTCAGCCTCAAAGCTTAACCACTGGAAGGGAACAACAGCTAAGGAAGATGCCCTGAATACTAACACCTCAAAAGAGGAAGTTAGTCTCCAGCTGATTTGGTCTGTTGTATTCCTAAAGCAAGACTAAGAATCACTCCACAGCCTTAACTCCTTCCAGGATGGGTGCTATTTTTGATGTGAAACTTTTAGCTCCTGTGTTGCATCTGCGCTATACACACACAGCTTGGGAAATTAATTTCTGCTATTTACAAAACAAACACCACTCTGAAGAACTCTTACCTTGCATCTGCCTTCTGTACTGGTTTCCAGGACAGTGTAACTGTACTTTTGTAAGAAGGAGGAATGTGGAAGAGATCCTACAGAGGCAAAATTGAACAGTTTACAGTTAAATTCACCTTGACTGCACTTGAAAATTTTAGCTACTTACTGAAAATCGAAAGTAACAATTGCTTTCCAACTTTTTAAACCCTGTTTGAAGACCCATGGCAGAGGGAGAAGGCAGGAGCTCACTGCCTTACCCATCTGCATTTAATTAGAAGTTCAAATGAGACTCAGATGACTGAACCGTGTCTTGTACTGACAAAATACAGAATCATAAAATTGTTTGAGTTGGAAAGGACCTTTAAAGATCATCTAGTCCAACCCTCCTGCAATGAGCAGAGACATCTTCCACTACATCAGGCTGCTCAGGCCCCTGTCCAGTCCAGCCTTGAATGTTTGAAGGAATGGGGGATCCACAGAGAAAGCACAGGGGTTTTCTCCCCATTCACATCAAACACCTTACAATGAGCTACAAAGGCACCTGCAGGGAGACATGTGATATCCCTATGATGGTACAAGATAGGCCTCCCAATACTTTGGGGGGCAAAGCTCTTGGCTTATTGTGGTGATTGAGAGCAAAGAAAGGAGGCGAAGGAGGTTAAAAGAAATCAGAATGGTTTCATGGGCTCTGGATAGAAATCTCTGTCTGCAGCTCATCTCTTCTAGAGCCTTTAGAGAAAAAGGTTCTGTACAGCAGTTCGCTTTGCCTCCTCCCTCCTTTACATCTCACTGCACCTCTTTCAGCTATTCCTTACCCCTCCCAAATGACAAGGAAAAAGGCTCAGCCAGAATCTACAGACCCCTAAGGCAAGGTGGTCTTCTCCTGCAGGCAGCCAGTGCTGCAGAAAAGGGCCTCGACACCCTATCCCAAGAGCAGCATGAGCTGCTTGCATGAACAGCATGATCCACCTTTCTTCAGAAGCAGTAAAGCAGCAGCATCTCTGAGCTGGCTAACACCAATTAACTTAGTAACACAAAATACAACTTATTTCAAATCTATTCCTTTCTCCTGCATAGGTTACTCTGCTGTGTGAATTTACTCCTTCATGCTGTTAGGGCTTACCTTGATTAGAACATTAATGTTATTGGTTATTTTCAGGGCAACCACCTTAATCTTGTTCTGTAAAAGAAAAGGAACACTGCTGAACAACTATTCTAGGAGCCTTATGCCAACTGCATTTGATGAAGTCACAACATTAAACTGACTCTTCTTCCCAGAGACCTGTTATAGCAACAGTAGTAGTGAAAGGTGTGTACACTTCTGAGTCTTCACCACAACTGTTTTTAGGCTTCTTGCAGTTTTACACTAACTAGCTGCTTTTAATGTTCCAGTGTCGCTCCCGTTGGTTTTTCTGCCCCCCAACATATGAAATTTTCCCCTTGCAAACAAAGCACAGAGCACAATTCAGCCACATACATGTGGATGCAGAGCACCTACCAGTAGCAACTAGGAGATCATCTTCACTTGCAAAACGCAGCATCAGGTAAGATGCACTTGCAATAATGCTGGCAGTATTATTCCCTTGCCTCTATCTGCATGCTTTCAACTGACTGCAGCCTGTTAATGTGTGCCAGGAGTTGTTTCAGTAGGCTCAGTTAGAGAAATCAGAATCCCCAAACAAGACTCACCTCCTCTGTTTTCAAGGCTTCTCCTGTTTTGCCTTGAAGTGCTAGGCGAAGCTGCCGAATATACACCTGCAGCCCTCGAGCAAAATACTGTAGCCTAAAACATTTAGGAGCAATTTGTTAATGACATTTGCATAGTCCCATGAAAAGAAAAGCATAAGCAAAGGGAAGCTGTCATCTCATTTTTTCCCCTTCAGGAAAAATGCTCAGCTTTCCATCAGTCTGATTTGTGCTACTTTTGCAGCCAGACAATAATAATTCACACTTCCACAGAACCATGAGCATTGGAAGAGACCTTCAAGATCATCTAATCCATCCATCAACTAGAACCACCATAATCACCCCTAAAACACACCCCTGAGTGCCACATCCAGACACCTCTAGAACACTTCCAGAGATGGTGACTCCACCACCTCCCTGGGTAACTTATTCCAGTGTCTAACCATTCTTTCAGCAAGCTTTTTTTCTCACATCTAGTCTGAATCTCCCCTGGTGCAACTTCAGGCCATTTCCCCTCATCCTATCACTGGAGACATGGCAGAAGAGACTGACTCCCACCTCACTACAAGCTCCCTTCAGGTAGCTGCAGAGAGCAATGGGGTTCCCCCTGAGCCTCCTCCTCCCCAGACTAAACAACCCCATCTCCCTCAGCTGAGGTGCTCCAGACCTTTCACCAGCTTCATCATCCTCTGGACTTGCTCCAGCAACTCAGTGTCCTTTCTGAAGTGAAGGGCCCAGAACAGAACATAGGATTCAAGGTGAGGCTTCACCAGTGCTGAGTACAGCAAAGCAATCACTGCCCCAGTCCTGCTGGACACACTATTTCTGATACAGGACAGGATGGCATTGGCTTTCTTGTGCACCTGGGCACACTGCTGGCTCATACCCAGCTGGCTGTCACCCAGCACCCCCAAGTTCCTTCCTGATGAGCAGCTCTCAAGCCACTCCTGCACCAGCCTGTAGCACTGCATGGGGTTGTGACCCAAGTGCACTTTGCCATACTGAACCTCATGCAGTTGTCCTCAGCTCACCAAGCCTGCCTGTCCAGACCCCTCTGCAGAGCCTTCCTACCCTGCAGCTGATCAACACTCCCACTCAACTTGGTGTCACCTGTGCACTCACTGAGGGGACACTCAATCTCCTCATTCAAATCATCGATAAAGATGTTAAACAGCACCAGCCCCAATCCTGAGCCCTGGGGAACACCACAAACACTTTCTAACAGAACATTAAAGGATTACCTGATTTTAAAATCTTTCAATTTCTCTGCATTCAGCTTGGCTGTGAGGAAGTCTGGAAGTTTACGGCCCAGCTGATGGAAGCTATACAACAAACACTCCACATAGCTGAACTGCAGCTTGGGCTCTTCATTGCCAGCATTTTCCCCATTCTCTGCTTCCTCTGGAGGAAGGGGCATGTACTCCTAAAGAACAGAAAGGGAAAACAAATGCACTAGATACATTTATGCAGACTGAGGGCTCTTTTGCAGTGTTCAAACCTAGGCTGGATGAAGCCTTGAGCAACCTGCTCTGGTGGGAGGTGTCCCTGCCCAGGGCAGGGGGTTGGGGCTGAATGATCTCTAAGGTCCATTCCAACCCCTAAAATTCTATGACTGTATGAACTGGAAGGTTTATTTATGCTGACAACTTAAGAAGTATCCCCCCCCATGCCAGCGATGAACCGTTGCATGATGTCCTGGTGCAGATGGTTTGGCTACACTCCTGCAACTTGACACCTGTGACTCAGAGGAAACACTCTGGTGGCACTGCAACCACAGGAAGCAGCAATGCACTGCACGAGTGCTTCTGAAACACTGCTGAACTTGCTTCAAGTTGTCAGTGCAGATACAGCCTTAAATGAATCACAGAATGTTAGGAGTTGGAATGGACTCTACAGATCATCTAGTCCCAGCCCCCTGCCCTGGGTTCCTCCCACCAGACCAGGCTGCTCAAGGCCTCAAATGAGATCAACGTAAGTCTCTCATGACCATAACATCTAAAAAGAACCCCAAAGGAGTTCACTGGATTAAACACATTATTCAGGTAACAGCTCTGTGTATCTGCAAAGGTTTTGAACCACACAATGATGTCTGACCTCATACCATGGACAGAGCTATCTTTGAAACAACCACTTCAGAGAGATGATAGATGAATACACCAAAATAATTTATTTGGATGAAAACTTCATTTAAGTGTTTTACCTGAATACAAATTGAATTACTTACCAGTAATTTATCAAACAGCTTCTTCAAATTTGATTCAAGCTTTTCCATATCACCACAAAACGAACTCATTTCAGCAAGCAGCTTCAAAACCTACACAAGAGGACAGGAAGGTTTGGCAGGGTAACTGAAACGCACACAGGCTTAACTTTCAACCTCAAATCAACTATCACATCACTCTGCCTGGCACAGAACAGGTCAGCTGTTACAACCCAGCCCCTCCCAAGTATCAGGAAGGAATACAAGGAGGAACACACCTGTTTTTCATGTCCTCAGACAGAACACAGGTTGTGTCTAACCCTAAGAAGTATTAGTCAACAAGTAAACAAAACTTCATCTCTCCCATCTGCAGCACAGCTCAAAGTGAGACTCACAGCACCTAACTGAAGCTGCAGCACTGATTAGTGTAAGCAAAATTACAGACATTAAGCCACTCCCTTAGGAGGTTAGATTAGCACAAGGCACACAGCAATCATTTCAGTAAATGCCATGTGCTTATAAAGAAATTGACAGTAATATAAAAATGATTACACCTATTTACTTATTCTGCCTTGCCTCAAAAGCTCAGGACAAATGACACACAACACTCAGTCATGCCTCAATAGAGCAAATTTTTTTTCCTAGTGTAGCTACTTTCCCTCCAAGACAAGAAATGAAAACCACTAAAGAAAGGAGTCTGCACCTTTTATAATAGCTGTCTTCATCTAAAGTGCTTAATTTTTATGGCTTTCAAGCCATTTTGGCTTACCTCCAACTGGATATCGAGACCCTCCACGGGAGTAGTCAGAGAACTGAGGTTTGGCAGGACATGCTCACAGAAGTAAGTGACAAATTTTGTGGAATGAACGTTTTTCTGCAAAAAAAAAAAAAAGTCACAACAAAAACCAAACCATTGCACATTCTTCAGGCTTCTCTGAGACTGAAGGAGCTAAACATTTTTCCCCCCATTGCTCTGCCACCCTTATGAATCCCTACCACACAGCTATACCTTAAAGCTTTAGTACACTTCCCTCTAGCTCCTAAAACACAGATCCCCTTGCAGGTAGCTCAGCCTCAGAGGCTCTCTGAAACAGCAGCCAAAAGGATTGTTTGTCACCCACGCATGGGCTTTAAGTGCTGCAGTAGCCTGGCCCTAGACTTGAAATAACCAAACTCATAACCTAATGTGAGAATCTTGCCATAATTCACTGTAACATCTTAAACTGGAAAGAAAATGTTGACGAGAATAACAAAATCTCTTTGTGTCAGTGTGCTGGTTTGAGCTGAAGTAGAGTTAACTTTCTTCATAGAGGCTAGTATGGGGCTATGTTTGGGTTTTGTGCTGAACACAGAGTTGATAATGCAGAGATGTTTTTGTTGTTGCTGAGCAGAGCTCACACAGAGTCAAGGCCTTTGCTGCTTTCTGTACTGCCACACTGGCAAGGAATTGGGGATGCATGGGAGATTGGGAGGAGACACAGCTGGGACAGGTGACCCAAACTGACCAAAGGGATATTCCATACCATAGCACATCATGCTCAGTATATAAGGTGGGAGGAAGAAGAAGGAAGGAGGGACATCTGGAGTGATGGTGTTTGTCTTCCCAAGGAACCATTATACGTGATGGGCCCTGCTCTCCTGGAGATGGCTAAACACCTCCTGTCTTTGGGAAGCAGTGAATTAATTCCTTGTTTTGCTATGCTTGTGTGTGCAGCTTTTGCTTTCTCTATTAAACTGTCTTTATCTCAGCCCATGAGTTTTTCTAGCTTTTACCCTTCTGATTCTCTCCCCCACCCTGTTGATGGGGGAGTGAGTGACAGGCTGCTGGTTCTTGGCTGCTGCTGGGGTTAAACCACAACAGTCAGGAGGCTTTGAGGATGTTTTCCCACATCTGAATGCAGTAGAAGCTGAAGGTGGTGAAGTGCTGATACGCAGTTGTTCTAACACAATCATTTGGAATACCAAAGAGAACCTACAGCCATTAACTGTGCACAGCATCCCTGATTCAAAGCCATGAACACCTACCGAGAAGAGAGGCACTGCCTGCCGAGTGCACTGCAGAAGTCTATCCACACAGTCTGGATCAGAAGGATTGAATGTTTGCTCCAGGTCAGCTTGTTCAGCTACCAGCTCCACCAGCTGCTGCCTCCCACTTACTGTCTGCAAGCTTTTCAATCCAGACAGTATTTTCATGAACAGAACAAATTCCTCTCCTGTCACATCTTCCAGAACCTTAACAGAGTAACAGAAAACTTGTTTATATGGTGGCAATTTGCAAACCTCCGAGTCAAACCTACTTGATTTGAAAAGGTAAAGGATGCAAATATTTAGCATTTAAATTTAGCTTCTAGTTATCTAAAAACACAAGGTTAAAGGAACACATGAAAACATACAGTACAGTTGAATGTGCCTCCTAATTAAAGTAAGTGCCATCAAGTTGTGCATAGAAAAATGTTCTTTTAATTCTAAATTTCTACCTAAGAAAATCATATGTTTCAGGCAGAATAAATGGTAAACAAGTATCTGCTCATTACTCGTTGTCTTAAAACTTTTTGCACCTTTCTCAGCTTGGGGAATGCAGAGGAATCTCATAAAAAGACAAATGCAAATGCAAAGTCCTGCACAGAAGAGGAACCAACTTCCCTGTCTCAGGCACATGTTGGGACTGACTGGCTAGAGAACTTCTCTGCTGCAAAGACTGAGGGTTCTGGGGGATGGCAGGTTGAACCAAAGTGACACCCCCATCTCTGGGCTGTGACAAGAGCACAGACTAAGGGAAGCAAAGGGATAGAGGATTCTCCATGGCTATGCTCTCGTTAGACCAAAGCTGGAACACTGCAGCTAAGTTGGGCTCTCCTGTGCAAAGGAGTGGTAGCTTTAGAAAGCTCAGCCAACAAGGTGATCAGTGTCTAGAGTTCATAACCTGTGAGGAGAACCTAAAGCAATTAGGCTTTTCCAGCCTAAAGGAAGAGAGCTGTGTGTGGGGACAGCAAACTAACGCTCATCTAACAATACTGAAGAGCAAGGCACCAAGTGTAGGAGCAGATTCTTTACTGGGGTGGACAAGGTCAGAATGAGACAATGACACAAAACTAAAACGGAAGGTTCCAAATGGACAAAGGAAAAAAATCAAATCTTGTTGAGGACAATTAAACACTGAAACTGGTTGCCCAGAGAATATAGGAACTCTCCTTCCCTATGAGGTTTTCAAAACCCAACTGGGAAAAGCACCAGGAAGTCTGATCCGAATTCAGTTGAGAATTCACTGAGGTGACCCATCTCTCCAAGACCCTGCTCAGCCTGAATGATTCTACCACTGCAACAAAAGTCCTTTAAAAGGAGAAAAGCTTAGCAGCATTTTGACATTCCCACAAAACAAAGCTGCCAAGTTTGGAGTGTAGCAGAACAGCATTAGTACAAGATCACATGGCACCATGCTTAGCTCTACATGTGGTTTGAACACACCTCCACAGCAACACCAGTGAGAAGGGATGGATTAACAACACTAAGGTTGTACTGAAAAAAGACACTCACCTTCTTTGATTCAGTCAATATGAACTCTTCCACCTCCTTTGTCATCACCTCCTCAGGCAAGGTTTTCAGCTTTGTAGAGAGGAACTTAATGGCTCTTTCTCTCACAATATCCTCTCCCTGAAGAATTTGACTGAATAAACCTCCCAAAGTTCCTGAATGGAGAATAAATCAGATAATGCAAATTATTTTAGAAGTTATGAGCTGAACCTTCTTTGCAAAAAAAAAAAAAAAAAAAAAAAAAGGAAGTCTCCTCCTTTAAGCCTCCATGATGCATTTTAAAATAACTGCCTTACTACACCCCACAGTTTTCGTGCGGCTTGACATAGGAATCCACACTCTTTGATTGGTCTGTGTAATTCAGATCCACAATGACTGAGAAGTTCAGTATTGTCTGCAAATCCAAACAGTGTCTGTCTCACTTCTGCACTGTCCTAAGAAGATGCAAAACTGAGTCCTGTTCTCATCCTACTAGGGTAGTATTACTAGAAGCCCTTTACCTTTAGCATCCATCTTAAAGATACTGAGCAAAGCATTGTTCACCAAATTGAATTCTGCAGAATCATCTGGAGAGAGAAAAACAAAGTTAGGTATATCCTTGACAGGCAAAGGTAAGAGCAGAAAAACAAAACTGCTGGTACCACACAACAAGCATTCTGTCCTCAGCATTTAATTGTAAACAGCATAACCTGTCCTTTAACAGCTCCTAGACTGAGGAAGTCAAAAGCCATGGAAAGAGGGAAGCAAAACAAAAAGCCACTTCAGCCTCCCTGCCAAAACTTTAACATCACAAACATGACAGGACTGAAAACTAGAAAGGAAGTAATTAATCAGTATATTTGGTTATTTTAAGGAACAGCTGAATAAACAAGCTGAGCTTGACTAAATCAGTGTACAATAATAGTTATTCCTTTCTAAATTCTCATTAATCTACAGTATTTCTAGGTGGCAGAAACAATTTTCCTCTCAAACTAAATGGAGAAATGCATAAGCCTAAAAAAAAAATCAAAAAAAAACCAAGCCAAAAACTATCTCCTGAGAAGCCTAGAAGCTTAACCATGCACTTTTAATACACCAGCATTTAGCTCTCTATAACTTACTGAGATAAGAAAGATAAAAATCATGTATTAAATTCTGAATTGAATTTGTACCACAAGAAAAGATCTATTTTGTACCAAAAATGCACTGCATGGAAGAAAATGCTGCAGGGCTTTACAAGACCCTGAGCCTGGATTAGAAATCCAGCAACTCTTTTTCAGAAGGCAATTTGCTGCAGTCCACACCTGGAAGGTCTGTGTGAGTGTCCCTGTGTGTGTGTCCCTGTATGTGTACATCTCTCCAGCCTTTTTCTAAAGATGCTTACAGAGAACTTGAATGGAAAAAACATTGTCTTAATTGAAAGGAAGATTTTCAGTTCAGATCAGGATAATTAGTGGCTTTTCAGCCTAACTGCATAGCAAATATAAAGGGGGTGAAATAGAAGAGTAGAAGGACACGGATGGCACTGGGATCAATTCTGAGTCAATGGAAAACACTTTACAGAACAAAAGTGTATCTATTTTCAGGTGTGTCCCGAGGAGATGAGCCAGCAAACCACCACTGCCTCCTACCTGACTGTAGAAGCTGAGTCAGAATGTCTGCTACCCGAGGAAGATTATCTCCAGTGGCAAACTGAGGCAATTCCTTGATTGCTTGTCGCCGGATCTGTCGAAATGGTCAGTGTTGTAGAAATTAAAAGAGTTCAAAATGTCAGGAATTAAAAAAAAAAGACTAAAAAAACCTAGGCAATTCAAGTACTGATGTTTTGCAGAAAAATCAGCTGCATTTGAGAAAATGACTACATACTCTTAACATGAGTATCACACTCAGAAAGTGACGTTCAGGTCTGAAAGTTTAACATCAGCCCAAACTCCAGATTTGCTATGAAACTATCATGACACTTAGGAACAAAGTAACGTACTTTTCTTTCATCTAAGCAGCACTTGGGAAAAGTCACATTCAAACAGCACCTCTGTGAACCAAATCATTCACATGACCAAGGGAAAAAAGGCTGGAATGTGTGTTCTTATGGAGTCTGATTTGCTAACAGGAAGGATAGTGTTAGTTGTGCACATGGCAGGGAGAAGCTCCAGGTTCTGCTCCCAGCACTGACAAAATCCTTGAATGGTCTTGTCCAAATCATTTAAGACCTGATAAACAAAGATGCTTCAAAGGTACAGCTGCTGCCAGCACCACAGAGGAAGCATGAAGCATCTCAAGACCTCTGCAAGAACAACTCAGTGAGAATCACATCCCTGTGGTTCACAGGTGCAAACAAGATTTTCTTGCTCCCAGTAGGATTTATCAGAGTCAATTACCACAAAGTGCTTTTCGATGGGAAAACAAGCAAATGGTATTCAATATGGTTTATTTATACAGAGCTGTTCCTCTGATCAAGGATGGGAGTGAAAAAGACAAATGAAAACTTCTCACATCTTCCCAAACAATAAATTCTTTCAACTTCAGGAATACAACAAAGTTTAAGTTTTCAAACAAACCAACCCTCCCCTGCTGAAAGACACAGCTACTAGAACAGAGAGAATAGAAACAAAACAGAAATTCAGTGTATCAACTTGCTACAAGGTTCTTACAGAAACATCTTCATCCTCACAGAGGTCCAACTGGGCATTGATAGCTGAGTCAGCCAGCTCAGGGAAATGCTTGAAGAACTTAGGAATAAATTGGGCTGCAAGTCTCTTCTCCTTGGCACCTCCCTTCACACCATCCAAGATCACCTGGTAGGCATCCTTATGCTGGAAGAGGAAAAGCAGAGTATATACATGGAAAAATCTTGGGTTATACTCAAGACAAGGAGCTATATTATACAAGCTTCTTACAAAGAAATAAATTTCTCTTAGACTGATATAACTGTGCCAATTCAGTAAAAACTGCCTCTGTTCCCTGGTTTTTACTGTTATTCCAGTTTCTCTGTCTGTCCCAAGTGCTTACTGCTCTAGCTGTCAGCACTAAGGCTAACACTTCCTGCACACTACTTGTTTAGAATGCTCCAAGGAATTATATGATCACTTTCACTGAATTTGGGCAGCTTTTCGAGGAGTTTCTGCCTTTCCTCTGCTCATTTATTGTCTCTCAAGTAGAAGTTCCCTTTCCTCTGCAATGGATCACAAGAGGTTTTTACCATACCTGTGCTAAAGCATCTCTGACATCAACTGAAGTAGTTAATCATAGAACTTTAGGGGTTGGAATGGACCTTACAGATCATCCAACCCCAACCCCTGCCCTGGGCAGGGACACCTCCCACCAGAGCAGGTTGCTCAAGGCTCATCCAACCTGGCTGTGAACACTGCCAGGGTTGGAGCAGCCACAGCCTCCCTGGGCAACCTGGGACAGTGTCTCACCAAAACTTAATCTGAGATGAAACACAGTGCTTAAAAGACCTGTTAACAGAAACTAAACACAAAACCCTCCAGAAACTTCCAGCTGAAATACAGAAATAATCACTTCAACAACAATATTCTCGAGCTGCTCCAACTAGAACCACACAGGTGTTTCTGATTTTGTGCCTGCAGCACTGACACCTTAGAATCACTGAAGTCTTTGTTGTGGTTAGCTCTGTGTCTGCAAAATAGGAGTCAGCATTACTAGATACTAGCACAAATCAGAACCTTCTGAGACGAATTTCCCTCATGGTTGTGAAAAGAATGCTTCAGACAGCTTAGCCTACTTTGAACAGCAACACTGACAGCACAGGACACTTTCTTGTCTTTACTTACAATAAATTTCCCAGAGCCACACATATCATCACTACTCCACATGCAAGTTCACCCTGAGTGAACATAAAGCACTGCATTAATGCCCTCTAAGGCAAACTGCCCTTTAACCTCCAGCACCAATGCTCCTTAACCACTCCCTGCACCTTTGCTGATAGCTCTCTGTGTTGCCAGATTCTGAACTGGCTCGGGACACAGATCTGGATTAAAAACAACCAAGGAAAAAGCTGATTGTGTGTCAGATGATCCACATCCCTATCCAGTTTGCTCTGTAGCTGAGCCAACACACTGCACTCAACAGCAACGGCAGGAGTGAGCCAGCAAAACTAACAATGAAAGGCACAGCGTTGTGCTCACAGCTTCTCGCAGTGCACATCAGTAACAACTTGGTTTTGATAAAACAAGTTACTTAAAACATAATAAGCATTGAAACAGCAATGAAATAGAGGAGCAGAAGGAGTGTTTTGCACATTTCCTCCCACTGTGTAACACAGGAATGTCCTAAGCTGGAGACAGTGGCCAGACCTTCACTTTTTGTACCTGCCAACTGACCGTTATTCATTAACTTCTCTAGGTTAATTCTTGAATCACAATGTGTTATGGAGGAGTGTTCATCTTCCTCTTTATTTTATGCCTGCTTCCTAAGTGGTTTTTTTTCAACTTACAGAATTTTAGGGGTTGGGATGGACCTCACAGATCACCTAGTCCCAACCCCTGCCCTGGGCAGGGACACCTCCCACCAGAGCAGGTTGCTCAAGGCTCATCCAACCTGGCTGTGAACACTGCCAGGGTTGGGGCAGCCACAACCTCCCTGGGCAACCTGGGACAGTGTCTCACCATTCTCACAGGGAAAACGTCTGCCTCATATTGAGCCTAAATTTCCCCTCCTTCAGTTTGAACCCATTGCCCCTTGTCCTGTCCCTGCAGTTCCTAACACAGAGTCCCTCTGCAGGTTCCCTGGAGCCCCTTCAGCTCCTGGAAGGTGCTCTGAGGTCTCCACACAGTCTTCTCTTCTCCAGGCTGAACAGCCCCAACTCCCTCAGCCTGTCCTCATAGGGGAGATGCTCCAGACTTCTTTGCAACTTCATGTTAGGAACTGCAGTGACAGGACAAGGGATAACCTGTTCTGGTGAGAGATGTCCCTGCCCAGGGCAGGAGGTTGGGTCTGGATGGTCTCTGAGGTCCATTCCAACCCCTAAAATTCTACGAATTACTCATGGCTTCTCAGAATGCAAAAACTGGGAGACATCAATTAACGTTATGAAATGACAAGTTCAAGGGTGAAAACTCCTTCACAAAGGTTAATGAAGTAATGGGACATTTTATCACACAATGTTTACATGCCAGAAATATAAGTCAGTTAAGCAAAGCATCAGAAGAGTCCAGTGAAGAACTTCTAGCAAGCTGTACTCATCACAGAGACACTGTCCCTGGCTCTGAAGCTCCAAAGCTGGAGAGAGGCAAAGCTGGGAGAGTGGATGAGGAATCACCATCCCATACTTACCCTTGGAGGTCCTGACACATCTGCTACACTGTCCCAGACTGCACTTTTTGACAATGCTGAAGTCTATTCTGTCTACAATGGCCATTCTTACCTCTCATAAACTGCTCACAACAGTCAAACTGCTGATGGACTGTGTTTGTAAACTGGCACAGTAACAGTGTGTTTTACTCTGTTTGATTTCCCATTTGTTTATGGTTCCAAGGTGATGTTTTGGCTGGGGCTGTCAGCAGGGATGTTTTGTTTCACAAGCAAAGTGAAGGGAGTTGAATTAAAATGAAAACAAACCTTAAACAACCCCAAACCAAAACAACCATCACATGATTTGTTCCCTTAAAGAACTTTCCATTCACCTGTACAGCGGCATCTAGTTTAAAATTTACACCTAGGTAAGTGCAAAGCTACTTTCCTACTTACAGACATCGTGGCCACAAAAAAATTAATTAAAAAAAAAAAGATAAAAAAGCATCTGGTGCTTCTCCAGGTGGCAATTCAGTAAAATGAGAGCCTAACGCAACTCCAGAACGAGTTTCAACTAACCATAACATTTTCCATTGGTAATATACCAACTCATCCTCTTTTCGTGAGTAATTCAGTCAGGGCATAAACAAACTGCAGATCTTGGCAGGGTTTTACAAAAAAAACTTTTTTTTTGGCCGTACGGATCGACCTTCTGTTCTTACCTTGAGGGAGAATGAACCAAAGGGCTACAGCAGTTATCAAATCCTAACAGACAACAAACCGTGCGGAACTGCGAGTGTGCTGGATGTGCGCGAGTGCTGCACGGCTACAGGCCTGAATTCTCCGGCCGAACCTCCCCGCGCCCGTGCGAAAAACAGCCCGACCCTACCTAGGAACCACTTAATACCCGCGACATGTAAAACGCGAGCTGC